GGGAGTACAAATCAGTTCAGTCCGTTTCTCTAAAGATAACTCCAGCTGTTGTGAATGGTTCATAGTGACAGCTGATTTTGGCGGTTTCATAGAGGTTAAACATCTACTAATAATATTCAGTTTATATCGCTTTGAGTTTCATACAAAAACCTTGATTTTTAGTGTTTTTGAAATGTCAAATTTCGTGTTAACTAAGCAGTATTTGCGGGAGGTTTTGATTTTCTACTTTAATTGGAAGAAAAGTGCGGCTGAAGCCCATCGAATGCTTGTCGAAGTTTATGGTGACACTGCTCCAATTGATAAATAATGTAGGGAATGGTTTCGAGATTTCGAGGTTTGGAGATTTCAGCGTTGAAGAGCCTCGCTCTGGACAGCCAAAAAAATTCGAAGACAAAGAATTAGAGGCATTACTCGAAGAAGATCAGAGTCAACCGCAAGAGGAGCTTGCAGAATCATTGGGAGTAACTCAACAAACCGTTTTTATACGATTGAGAGCCATAGGAATGATTCAAAAATAAGGAAAAACCGAGAGACGTTAAAAGGCGATTTTTTTCACTTGCGAACAGCTGATTCAAAAACAACAGAGAAAAGATTTTTTGCATCGGATTACGACTGGAGATGAGAAGGATATTCTACGTCAATCCCAAGAAGAAAAAATACTACACTAAGTCCGGTCAATCATTGCTATCGACCTCAACATCAACACCACGGCCAAACATTCATGGTTCGAAGATCATGCTCTGTATCTAGTGGGACCAAAAAGGTTTTGTTTACTGAGCTGCTGAAACCTGGTGATTCCATTACGGGCGATCCGTATCGGTACAATTGATTCATTTGAGTTGTGCATTGCGAGAAAAACGGCCGGAATACGAGCAAAGACATGATAAAGTTATTCTTCTTCATGACAATGCTCGGCCTTATGTCGCTAAAGTCGTAAAAAAATATTTGGAAATCTCAAATGGGATGTTTTACCGCACTCGCCGTATTCTCCGGACGTTGCTCCTTCTGATTACTGATTGTTCCAAAGGATACAGCAAGTCATCGGTTCACTTCCTTCGCAGAAATCGAAAATTGGCTCCAAAATTGAATCGCCTCCAAAGACGAGTCATTTTTTCGAGATGGAATTCGAAAATTGTTGAGAGATGAGAAAAAATAGTAGGCAGCGATGACAATACTTTAATTAATCTGTTCATTCATTTTGTTTTGAAATAAATGCACAAAAAAACGGACCGAACTAATTTGTACTCCTAA